TTTATTCGTCAACAAATCAACGAAAAAAACGCAGATCGTACACGAATTATCCATCAATTCAACAAAAACAACTCAAAACGCCTCGGAACCATACGAATCTAAGCCGATCTACCAGAAACAACTTTGAAACAAAAAAAAACCATCGAGAATCCGAGATGAAATCCGGGAATAAAATAATTCTAAAAGACAAAGGAATCTCATGCTATGAATCAATAAGAAAAAAACAAAAATCAACCTGATAATATTTTCAGATCGATCGCTGAGGCAAGGGTCTTCTGCAAAAGCTAAAGGAAGAAATCACGGAGGGAGGTAAGACGATTGGGAGAAGATAGATGGATGCTTATAGAGAAGAAAACCCTAAGCCGGCGATGACGAAGAAGGAACTGTGTATCGAAAGAGAAGACTCATTATATATCTTCGGCGATATTGAGGAAGAGAAGAAAAAAAAAATAGCTAAGTCGGCGGTTCCTGAGTTTTCCTCTGTGTAACCAAAAATTTGCTTGGACGAAAAGCAAATCACTTGGGTTAGGTTAAAGTGACTTGCGGTTAAGTCAAAGTCGAAATCTTATTGGTTGGTGATATATTGATGAGGCGGTCAATACACGGAGATGGAAGATATGGTCGAATAATAAAATGGAATAATATCATGAGGGATAACCAAAAAAAGCCATGAGGAGAAATATTAAAATTCAACTCACGGGGACACAATTATAAAATGTGAGACTCTTGAGTCTTTGATTAGATTGCTGACTACGAATCGATGGGTAAAGGGGACATTGGAATGGAGGATAACCATAGTATTTTATTGCACAGAGATCTACATAGTTTTCAATGAATTATCTAGGAATAAAGGTTAAGGATTCGCACAAAACAAAAAAGTTTAAGGAGATGATCCTTGTAGTAGTTTTGAAATATTTTAGAAGTTGTTGAATAGTAAGGTGTAGTTTTGTTTTTTGAAAGAGGTAGTTGTTCGAAAATGATTTCCCGCGTTTAACGGTTGAAAATATAATTTAAACGTAAATAATTAGAAAGTTTTATTTTATCGACCGTTACTTGTATTTTGGCGCGTTTTCTTGTTTGTAACGGCTGAAAATATAATATAAACATAAATAGTAAAACTTGTTTTATTAACGGTTATTTATGTTTTGGCGCGTTCTTTCTCCTATCTATAACGGTCAAAACTTCATCGTTATAAAGCTATAAAAGGAAAAATAATTTATCGTGTTGAAACTATATACAACAAGATTGCTCTAATCGTTCCGTAAAAAAGAAAGAACCAAACTCCGAAACCCTTACATATAAATGCTTAAGGTAGCATTTGGGTGAAAATAATCTTGAAGCTACTATGGACCTCCCATGGCTAAGGAAAACTAAAGCCTACCATCTCGTGTATTACTAGTAGAGATAATCTCGAACTATGGAACAACCATTGGTTTGTCCACTTTAAAATCACACTTGGTTAAAATTGCATTCAGTGAAAGCATGATAACTCATTCAAGGGCTTAAGAATATATTCCACTACTACTGCATAATTGAAAACTATGATACCATATGAAATGGGAGATCGCTTAAGCTTTACAAAGAAGAAATATTTTAGAAATTGTTGAATAGTAAGGTGTGATTTTTTTTGTTGAAAGAAGTAGTTGTTTGAAAAGGATTTCCCGCATTTAACGGTTGAAAATATAATATAAACGTAAATAATAAATTTTTATTTTATTGACCGTTATTTGTATTTTGGCGCGTTTTTTTCTATAACGGCTGAAATTATAATATAAACACAAATAATAAAATTATTTTCTCAAAGATTTTTATATTTTGGCGCGTTTTTCTCTTATCTATAACGGTCTAATTTTTTTCTACAAAAAAAAATAACGGTCTAAATTTTATCATTATAAAACCAGAAATGGAAAAAGAATTTATCATGTTGAAACTAAAGACAACGAGAAACAGAACAATGAAAAAGGAAAGCACCAAACTCGGAAACACTGATATACAAATGCTTAAAGTAGCATTTCAGTGAAAATAATCTTGAAGCTAGGATGGACCTCTCATGGCTAAAGAAAACTAAAACCTTTCGTCGCGTGTAATACTAACAGAGATAATCTCGACCTATAGAACAACAATTGGTTTGTCCACTTTAAAATCACACTTGGTAAAAGTAGTGAAAGCTTGATAACTCAGCCAAAACCATGGTTTATGAATATATATTCCACTACTACTGCGTAATTGAAAACTATGATACCATATGAAATGTGCAGACCGCTTAAGCTATACAAAGACCATAATATGCATCAAAACTCTGCATTTAGCCAATTCGAAAGCAAGTGAAAATATATTTCGCGTGAAACTATACCCTACACTATGATCTCTCACTATCCATACTCCACCATTATGTAGTATTTTCTCCAATTGGCATTGATATACTTACGTATGCTAGACAAAAGTGGATACAATCGATTGTCTAGAGCACCAAGACATGTAAATGTTCATTTTAAACTACAACTTCTTCCAATGCTTTTAGCGTATTTAATACATCTTGTTTCCAACATACAAGGTAGCATTCCAGTTCTCCTATATCTTCCCAAGAAACCCAAATGATGGCCTGTCTTATGAAGTATATGTAGTTATTGGCTGGTGTTCCATTAGATCCAAAATATGAATAATAAACCTCTAATGATGTTGTGAAGCCATTGCAAACAGCTGAACTGAGCCAAATAAATAATTTGCTAAGCCTTATATCAGTTTACTGTTTACATTATACGACACAACATACCAATACTACACAGCATACCTTTCACATGACCGAAAAGTAAGATCATCTCTATGGTGAGATACTTTTAGAGCTATATATAACAAATATAATACTACAGAAATAGTTTTAATTAATTTAATTAAATAGTTTATTCTAAAATAAAAGAAAAGTTTAAACCAATAAGAAATTGACTAATCTTATATGGTCTCTCAACTTGTTTGTCTAAATTCTAAAATGAGATAACCAATTCTTTCTCTCTTCTTTTTATAATTCTTATTAACTGTTTGAAGGCAAAACAGTAATATATACTTAATTTTCGTATTGGTAAAAAAAAAAATCTCAATAATATATGTACTAAATTCATTATTTTTATATTAAACTTTTAGGCAATGGTTTAAATAGGCTTGCACGATAACTTAAAAAAAAACATTAATACATTTGGCAGTAAATAATCCATTGATTTACTTCCAAATATATTAATGTTTCAATTTTTTTTTAAATATTGTTTGATCAAGCCCATTTGTCGAATGGTTTGGTCAAATTGAGATTTTCTTCGATCTAATTGTTTTAATAACCCTCCTGTGTCATTCCCAAGTGGTGGCCGCCTTGTCTCGTGTGATGGCCTTTGTATCTCCTTTTAACCTCCCTTTGGCCGCCATATGCATGTTGGTTTTGAGGTTGGTTATAGGTTTGCTTATTTCTCCTTCCTGTCAAATGGTTAACTCCTTGCAAAACACTTGAAATCATGATTAGATGGTTTCTCAGATTGTGATCCTCAAGTGACCAACTTGAAGTTCACAATCCAAGAGATTAAAGCACAAACTATAAATTCTTATTTGGTCTTGGTTAATGATCCAAATTTCAAACTATAGTTCAATCTCTTGTAATTTCAGTGAGCAGAATGAGTTTTGACAAGTGATTATGTATTCTTTCCAATCATCAAATAAATCAAGTTAAACCATGAAATATATTTGGTAAAGTGCAATGGTTTAAACGATTTTTCAAGTGAAGATCAAGAGTGATTATGAAATGAATACTAAGGTGAGATTTACTTACCTTTTGGAAGAGAAACGCCTTGTACAAGGGTGGGCTCATTGGGTGGGACACTTCCATTGTTTGGTCTCCTTTGGGTCTTCATCCTAAGAAAATATTTTTGTATTTTTGTTTGATTTTTGAAAAACTCCTGCAAAATAGAAATAATAGTTAAAAACCATATGGGTTGCCTCCCATAAAGCGCTTTTGTTTTAAGTCATTTAGCTTGACTCCTTCTCTTTCTTATTCTTGTGGTGCATCGGCCAAGGGTATGATTTCCTCTACTCCCTTTTCCGAGTTGGCTAGGTATGGTTTTAGCCTCTGACCGTTTACGGTGAAGTCTCCTCCACTAGGGTCCCAAAGAACCACTGCTCCATATGGCTTGACTTCTTTTATCTTGAACGGGCCAGACCATCTTGAGCGTAGTTTGCCGGGAAAAAGCTTGAGTCTTGAGTTGAAAAGCAGAACCTGGTCGTTAGCGGCGAAAGACTTAGGCACTATCTTCCTATCATGGAGAGCTTTGGTCTTTTCTTTGTAGATTTTGGTGTTCTCGTAAGCCAAGTGTCTTATCTCCTCAAGCTCGTTCAATTGGATCAGGCGCCTCTCCGCTGCGGTTTTAAGGTTAAAGTTAAGCTCCTTGACCGCCCAAGCTGCCTGATGATAGGATTTGTGTGTGGATGTGAAAAGATATGAAATGAGATGTGTGGAATGCAATCAGTGGTATATGATGAGGTGGTAAGATGCAAACACAAACACAGTCAACAATTCCCTTTAACCATGATAGTTGATGTAGTACAAAGGGTTATCAATCCAAAATGGGAAACTTGTCACTCTATGAGAATATGAAACAACCAGGAAGTCAAGCAAGCAGTATAGATTTGAAGTAACACTAACAACCTAAAAAAAGAAAAGCAGTGCAATAAAAGTAAAGAAAGCAGTGAAGTACAGCTCGACCAAGACTCGAGTCGAGTAGAGCAAAGTACCAGCTCGATCGAGTTTAGGGTCGAGTTGAGAAAACAAAGCTAAAGGTGACGACTTTAACAAGATAAAGAGAGAATTAGGGTTCAAGACAGGGTTTTGCAATCAAAGGAATCTACACTTAATCAATCTAGCTCTTAAAACTCCTTGTATCAAGGCTTCTCTTGATATTGGGCTTCTCAATGCCTAGCCAACCCTTTCCCAAGGTGAGGCTATCAACCAAGGAATGATCTCAGAAACAGGGGGTTAGCCAGTGAGAATCAAACCTTGGAGGCTATAGGATCATTGCCCAAACTAATCCATCCAACCCCTTAGACCTCTATTTCTAGAGCAAGAGATATTGGAGCTCTTAGTGGATCTTTTCCAGCGAATGCCATCACTTTCGTGTGGGGAATCGCCTAAGGACTTACAAGCCAGGGGTAGTGGTCATGTAGCCTTAAGATCTATCCAAAAGAGAGAGAATCTAGATTAAGACCATAAGCTAGAAGGATTAAGCATATGAAACCTCTAATCTATCCCATCTCAAACCCTAATGGGTAACTACTCACTACACATGAATGTAAACACAAGCAAATGCAATAAAAGACATCATAAGAAAGAGGAGATGAAATAAACAACTTTTATTGAAATAAGCAAGTGCAAATACAAAGAGATTATCCAGGATCTAGGATTCAAGAAGCAAGAGCTTCAAGAACACAAAGATGGGATTAGATCTCTAAAAAGTAAAAGACAATAAATTAAAAGAAACTAAAACAAAATAATCTAAAGCTTGGTGGTTTTTTCGTGGCTTAGAGCCTTTAAATACAAGAGGATTAGGTTTAGGGTCAAAGGAAAGTCAAGGGGGAAGCAACATTTTTCGGGTTTGACTTTGACTTCCAGCTCGATCGAGTTGAAGCTTGGCCGGTCGAGTTGAGGAACTCGACCGGTTGGTCGAGTGGACGGTCGAGCTGGTCTTCAAGATGGCTTCTCCCTTCTTCCTTTGCGTATCCAGTTGAGCTGCTTCCATGTGCCAAGTCCCTCCATGCTCCTTGTCCCATATGCTCCAGAATGCTCCAAAAGACCTATTTCAAAGGACCAAACATGCATATGTATGCAAATGCAACCTAAAACTAACATGAATGCATAAGAAGAGAAAAGGAACAAGATATGATGCAAATGGAAGCTAAAACTATGCAAAAGATGCATAAAAGATGTGCTAAAACTATGTAAAATGCAAGTACATCAACACCCCCAAACTTGAACTTTGCTTGCCCTCAAGCAAACAAATAGAACAAGAAAGAGATGAGGTTTGAAAATAGCTGATTCAACACTTAAAAACATGTCCTCAAAAGCGATTTGCTAAATGTCCAACTTAGAGATTCTAGAATGCAACAAGGTGAGAGATATTCATTAAGATTTAACCATGCTTATCAACATCAATCCCACTTCACAGTCACTCAAACAATGCATTCAAATCAGCAAATCCCTTTAACATTCATTAAGCAAAAACAGTGAACCAAAAACATGCAAGATCAATCAACTCATTTGGTTTCAAGGGTTTATGGGTTAAGAGACAAAGAGGGTCTCTTTTGTATGGTGGTTTAGTAACAGGGATCTCTCAAGAAAGTGGCTTTGCTTTGGCAGAAGGCTAAGTGTTAGAACCAAAGATGATGCAAGAACAGCAGCTCGAGCCGCCTAATCCTAACTCGATCGAGTTCAACACTTAGAGCTTTTTAGAACAAAATCCTAACTACCCTTTTTGGCATTTCGCCTTTGAAACTGAGGAGCTTTGCTCACTTTTCTTTTAAGAACTTCCTAGGGAGAGGCTTCTTGAGGTAACATCTAGCGGTTTGGGATTTTCTAAACACTTAGGGAACTTTTCTTTCCTTTTTGACACTTGAGGCTTTGCCTTCTTTTCATTCTACTTAGAACCCTTTTTACTTCCTTTTTTAACTTCCCAAACCTTTACTAGACCCTTTTTAACACTGCCAACTCCCTGGACTTAACTAAACTCTTTTTCCTTTGGTTTTTCCCAATTTTTACCACTTTTCTGGTTTTTGACACCCAACTCGATCGAGCTCGAGTTGGCACCCCCAAACTTAGCCTGAAAACAATCCCAAGAGAACTAGACAACTAGAACTACTGCCCCTGCCGGTTTAAACACAACACCTTATGCTAAGCAAAGCCAAGAAAGGTTCTCACAATCGCACAAGAGATAAATGGGGTTTGAAATGAAAAGGCTTAGGTTTAAGGTGTGGTAACTGTCTCAAAGATGGAGATCAGCTATCTGGACAAGCAAAGGGATATGAAAATAGGTAAAGAATGTCCAGATATGTATGTGGTAGCCATGAGTTGAAATCAAATGCAAGCATTGGTAATTAAAGATCAAGTTATGGTTCAAATAGATAGGGAAATGCATCAAATCACAGCAATGGTTGAATGAGATGTGCATGCAGTGATATGATCAAGATAAACATGGTTCTTGCTGCTCAATCAATCTCACCCTAATGCACAAAAGAATCTAAAAACAGGGCACTCAAGAAATCGCAAAAGATGGACAAGTTTTCAAAGTCAAATCAACAATGCAAGTGAAAAATGCAATCCTAAACAAGTCTAACAAATATGAATGCAAAAAGATGAAAATATTTTTGGATTTTTTGAAAATTTTATGATTTTTTTGGTTTTTCTATGCAAAAGATAAATGAAAAACTAAGAACAAAGAAAACAAGGTTAAATCATCTCTTGAACCCTCCCCCAAACTTAAATCACACAGTCCCTTGTGTGAGAAAAATTTAGTGAAAGATTCAAGAGGGCAAAACCAAGAAAAAACAAGAACAAATGCAAGAAAATATGAAATGGTATATACAAGGGTTGGTGTTTGGATACCTCAGTGCCCCCCAAAGAACTGGGAGACTAGGTCGTGGTCTGGAGATGGTAGACGGCCATCAGGAGCTCCACTCGACTGGGTTCGGCTCACTCGATCGAGCTTGTGGTTGACTCGATCGAGTTGTTCCTCGAGTTAGGTCCCTTCCTAAAACTGCTCCTGCAAGACTTAGCAAGAAAAACAGAATAAATGAAAGATATATAAGATAGACATGGGAATTCCTCCCAAGTGAGCTTGTTTTAGGTCTCATAGCTTGACCTTACCCCTTTTAGGCGGGGTTGGATCTTGTAGAGGAGTGATGATCTCCTCTGTGGGGGTCATTCCTAGATAGGGCTTGCATCTATGCCCATTTCACTGTGAATTCCTTCCCCTCTTGGTTGAGCAGAGTGAGGGATCCATAGGGTAGAACTTCGTGATCTTGAATGGCCCCGACCACTTTGACCTCAACTTCCCGGGAAACAACCTTAGCTTGGAGTTAAACAAGAGCACACTGTCCCCAACCTTGAAGTCCTTAAGGCGAATCAGTTTGTCGTGGGCTGCCTTGGTTCTCATCTTGTAAATCCTAGAGTTCTCATAGGCATTCATTCTTATCTCCTCCAGCTCAAACAAGTTCATTACCCTCCTTTCTTGTGCTGCCTTTATATCAAAGTTCAGCATCTTTACTGCCCATAAAGCCTTATATTCGACCTCCACAGGTAAGTGGCAGTCCTTCCCATACAGCAAATTGAAAGGAGACCTTCCAATGGGGGTTTTGTAGGCTGTCCTATAAGCCCAAAGTGCCTCATCAAGCCTTGCTGCCCAGTCTTTCCTAGTGAAGCTCACAGTCTTCTCCAATATGGCCTTGATCTGTCTGTTGGAGACTTCAACTTGCCCACTGGTTTGAGGGTGATAAGGGTGGCGACCTTGTGTTTTACTCCGTGGCTTCTCATCAATTTTCAAACACCTTGTTGATGAAATGGGAGCCTCCATCTGAAATAACAACCCTCGGGATGCCGAACCTTGGAAAGATGATTGTTCTGAAAAGCTTGACAACCACCTTGGCGTCACAAGTTGGGCAGGGAATGGCTTCAATCCATTTGGATACATAGTCTACAGCAACCAAAATGTAGTTGTGCCCGTTTGAAGAGGGTTTGAAAGGTCCCATGAAGTCTATTCCCCATACATCAAAAATCTCAACCTCTAGAATTGGGTTTAGTGGCATCTCATCCGTCTTGGTGATCCCTCCTTTCCTTTGGCACGGATCACACTTGGCAATGTAGTCTGCTGCATCCTTAAACAAAGTAGGCCACCATAAACCCGATTGCAAAACCTTAGTTGCTGTTTTGAATGTAGCAAAGTGACCTCCATAAACTGACCCATGGCAATGCTCTAGAACTCCTTGCACATCCTCTTCAGCAATGCACCTCCTGTAAATGCTGTCTGGTCCTCTCTTGTACAGGTAGAATTGGGTTTAGTGGCATCTCGTCCGTCTTGGTGATCCCTCCTTTCCTTTGGCACGGATCACACTTGGCAATGTAGTCTGCTGCATCCTTAAACAAAGTAGGCCACCATAAACCCGATTGCAAAACCTTAGTTGCTGTTTTGAATGTAGCAAAGTGACCTCCATAAACTGACCCATGGCAATGCTCTAGAACTCCTTGCACATCCTCTTCAGCAATGCACCTCCTGTAAATGCTGTCTGGTCCTCTCTTGTACAGGTAGAATTGGGTTTAGTGGCATCTCGTCCTCTTGGTGATCCCTCCTTTCCTTTGGCACGGATCACACTTGGCAATGTAGTCTGCTGCATCCTTAAACAAAGTAGGCCACCATAAACCCGATTGCAAAACCTTAGTTGCTGTTTTGAATGTAGCAAAGTGACCTCCATAAACTGACCCATGGCAATGCTCTAGAACTCCTTGCACATCCTCTTCAGCAATGCATCTCCTGTAAATGCTGTCTGGTCCTCTCTTGTACAGGTAGGGCTCATCCCAATAGTAATGCCTAGCATCCTTGAAGAATTTCTTCCTCTTGTAAGCATCAAAGCTACTAGGGACTTCTCCGGACACCATGAAGTTCACTATATCAGCATACCATGGCAAATTCTCATCACGCAGAGCCTTAACTTCTTCCAGCCTGGCTTTCTCATCAAAACTCTCCTTCAAGATCATGATTGCCATAAGCTGTTCTTCAGGCATAGAATCATTGATGGGGATCATGTCTTCAACTCGCATCCTAGAGAGATGATCAGCAACTCCATTTTCTACTCCCTTTTTGTCCACAACTTCTATCAAACTCTTGAAGCAAAAGGATCCATCTGAGAAGTCTTGGCTTTGTATCTTTTTAGCGAAGATGTGTCTAAGGGCAGCATGGTCAGTGTGCACAATCACCTTGGATCCAACTATATAGCTTCGAAACTTCTCAAAGGCAAAGACTATGGCAAGGAGCTCCTTCTCTGTGGTTGCATACTTGCATTGAGCATCATCCATAGTCTTGCTTGCATAGTAGATGACATTGAGTTTCTTGTCTATCTTTTGGCCAAGCACTGCTCCTACTGCATAGTCAGATGCATCACACATAATCTCAAATGGGTGATCCCAGTTTGGAGCTTGACTATTGGCGCAGACACCAGAGCATCCTTCAGCAAGGTCCAAGACTTGTGGCATTCTTCATCAAACTCAAAATCTGTCTCCTTGCATAGAAGCCTTGTCAAGGGTCTTGCTATCTTTGAGAAATCCTTGATGAATCTTCTGTAGAACCCTGCATGACCCAGAAAACTCCTTATGTCCTTCACAGTCTTGGGAACAGGGAGCTGCAACATGACATCCACCTTAGCTCGATCGAGCTCGATCCCTTTCTCGGAAATCTTGTGTCCAAGCACAATCCCTTCTCGAACCATGAAGTGGCACTTCTCCCAGTTGAGTACTAGATTGGTCTCCTCACACCTCTGCAACACCCTGCACAAGTTAGACAAACATGAGGAGAAGGATGCTCCATAGACTGAGAAATCGTCCATGAAGACTTCTACCATCTCCTCTATCAGATCTGAAAAAATGGAGGTCATGCACCTCTGGAAAGTAGCTGGGCATTGCACAGCCCAAATGGCATCCTTCGATAAGCAAAGGTGCCATAAGGGCATGTGAAAGTGGTCTTCTCCTGATCATTAGGGTGGATCGGGATTTGGAAGAAACCACTGTAGCCATCAAGAAAACAATAAAAGGGTGGTTTGCCAATCTTTCTAACATCTGATCAATGAAAGGGAGAGGGAAATGATCCTTTCTAGATGCTGAATTTAGCTTCCTATAGTCAATACACATGCGATGCCCCACTATTGTTCTAGTGGGAATCAGCTCCTCTTTGTCGTTTTTAATGACAGTGATCCCCCCTTTCTTTGGGACGCAATGAACTGGAGATATCCAAGTGCTATCACTGATGGGATAGATTATCCCAGCATCAAGCAACTTGAGTATCTCTTTCTTCACTACTTCCTTTAGATTGGGGTTCAATCTTCTTTGAGGTTCAATGCTTGACTTACTTTCATCCTCTAGATGAATCCTATGGATGCATAGGTCAGGGGAGATCCCCTTGATATCATCTAGAGTGTAACCTATTGCCTTTCTGTACTTTCTCAATTCAACAAGCAAAGCACTCAACTGTTCAGGTTCCAAATCAGAGTTCACAATGACAGGGTAAGTTGAGTTCAAATCAGAGTTCACAATGACAGGGTAAGTTGAGTTTTCACCCAGAAATGCATACCTGAGGCCCTCAGGCAAAGGTTTGAGGTCGACTTTAGGCGCCTTGAGCTCAGACCAATCTCCTTGAGCTTGCTCCTTGCATTCAGCCCCAGCTCGATCGAGTTCGTTTGTTCGAAACTCGACTCGATCGAGTTCTTGATCGAGCTCACTGCCATGACTTCGCAAACTGGCCTGTCCAATCCTCAATGCTCAGAATGTTTGGAACTGGTCTGAAGGTGTCAAGGAGCTTCTTGTACTCATCAGTTTCTGAGCTCACATATCCTTCTGAAGAATCCTTGGTCAAAGCAAGATGCATTGAAATAGACGACGGAGCAATACGGCCGACAAACCCAAATCACGGCATAGGCGCGCCAACCGGTTGGAAAACTCTTCCTTGAGCTTAACTAACACTTTTATGCAGGAAGAAACGAAAAGGAACGAGCCAAACTTCACATGGCCAAGGAAACTCCTTCCCGGAGCCGACTTGACCATTTTGTGAAGGAAGTCTCAATCCCTCGTAAATGCTCCCAAACTTCACCAGAGGCCATAAAATACCAGGTTGGTCGATGAAATTTCAATATAGGTCATGAAATTTTGACGGTTTGTTCTGTAGTTCACAGCACCACATTTTGGCCGACCGAATATACCAATCTCGGCCAAAACACAAACCGGCGGAAACCAAGGCCTGAAATTAAAAACTCACCGACCAATATTGCCTAAAGAAGTGTAGAATGACCCAAACCGGAACTGATCTTCATTATAAATTGGTCGACATTTGGTAACATCATCCTAAACCTTTTTCTTTTCAATTTTTCATTTGAACTTCATGTTATACCTCTCTTAATCCGATTTGCTTTCACCGGGACGGTGCAAGTTAAGTCTGGGGGGATTACTAACAATGTTTGTTCATTTTGGCGTTTTCATTTGCATTTTTTCCCTTTCATCGAGTCGTTTTTATTGAGTCAAAATTTTTGTCGAGAATCATGACCTTATCTTGGATCTAACCATGATTGTACTAATGTTTAAGTGACCATTGAGCAGTTCTTGGCAATACATCTTACCACAGGTGCACTATGAGTTGATCGATCTACCAAAAACGCCTACATCTCTAAAGACTTGAGAAGGATCCATCTTTGACTCCGCCCTTAATGAACTTAATCTTCTCAGCTAGGGGCTTGGCATACAAATGGCATGATTCCTCATCCTCTCCATCAAATGAAAAAGTCTTAGTGAGTTCGTGCTTCCCTCTCTCTCCCCTTCAAATTTAAAGAAAAAGCGTAAGGTCCAAGTAACCGGGGATTCGGTGGCAAACACCATCAATACTCGCGTCTATGGAAGGCCTATGAATCCAAGCAACCGGGGATTCGGTGGCAAACACCATCAATACTCGCGTCTGTGGAAGATCCAAGCAAAACCTCTATAATAAAGAGAAGGAGTTGAATAAAAAAATACTTCGCTACCCTAAAAAAGGGATGAATCAACTCAAAGAAGTGAGAAGAGAGAGAGGAGAAACATGGAGTAAAAAGACAAGTGCCAAACAAGGGGATGAGTAAGAGTCTAAAGCCGGCTGATCGATACTCCCTAGTTGAGACCACACCTTTAGAAATGAAAGGAGTCAAGGGTGGCGAATTGGATTGTCCAAGGAGAGGTGGACCGCTTTGGGAAAATCGCAAAACTCATGGTATGTACTTTGTTCTTAATTCAAAACTTGCCAATGCTGTTTCATGTGGATTACTAAAGCATAAGTCAATTTGGATTTCCAAAAGATTTGAGAGTTCTCACGTTTTCAAACCTCTTTTCCTGCTTAGTTTGCTTGGGGACAAGCAAAAGGCTAAGTCTGGGGGAGTTGATATCACCATATTTTACATGATTTTACTATATAATTACCTATGTTTTCAAACGGTTTTTGCAAGATTCTTTGCCTTTAGAGGTAGTTTTCTTGTATTTGTGGGATTTGAAGTCTTGTAGGTGAAACCATCAAAAAGGATGCAAAAAGGAGTAAAAGAGCCCTAAATCAAGATCCATGCAAGTTTCCAAGTCAAGAAGATCATTTTATCTCCAAGTGTTAGTTCTCGCTAGCGCGCAGAACGAAGCTTCGGAAGTTTGGCCGCGCGCGGAGGAGTTCCCGACGTCCAAAAGTTACGATCTTGATATGGAAAGATAGATACTTGAGTCATGCATCACGTCGAAGTGGAATGAAGCCATTTGGATCAACTATAGGCCGGAACTTATTTTCTACCGAGACATGTCCGGTAAGCGAGTAAACGAAGCCCATGGAGGATTTGGAGTGTCTAATGGCCCGAGCAGCAGCGCCAAAGGCCTTGATCGAATAGAGAAGAGGCCTGGCTAATGTTTGGAGCTTTCCTTGGTACAATGTCGGCCCATACACGACGTGGAGAAGAAGGCTCGGCTCATGGAAACTTTCCTTTTCCGGCATGAAGAAAACCCTACGCGACTTCGCCCATATATACATGTTTTTAGCCGCTGAGCGCGAGAGTCTGATGATAGGATTTTACGTGGATGAAGTGAATGAAGGATGATATGAAATGAGGTGGAATGCAAACAGGGGTGAATAAAGATGAATGGTATGGTGCAATCACAATCAATCAATTCCTCTTAACCATCATAGTCATTGAAGTATAAGAGGTTATCAATCCAAAATGGGAAACTTGTCACTCTTTGAGAATATGAAACAACCAGGAAGTCAAGCAAGCAGTTAATAGATTTGAAGTAACACTAACAACCTAAAAAAATGAAAAGCAGTGCAATAAAAGTAAACAAAGCAGTGAAGTGTCAGCTCGACCAAGAGCTCGAGTCGAGTCAGAGCAAAGTACCAGCTCGATCGAGTTTAGGGACGAGTTGAGACAAACAAAGCTAAAGGTGACGACTTTAACAAGATAAAGAGAGAATTAGGGTTCAAGACAGGGTTTTGCAATCAAAGGAATCTACACTTAATCAATCTAGCTCTTAAAACTCCTTGTATCAAGGCTTCTCTTGATATTGGGCTTCTCAATGCCTAGCCAACCCTTTCCCAAGGTGGAGGCTATCAACCAAGGAATGATCTCAGAAACAGGGGGTTAGCCAGTGAGAATCAAACCTTGGAGGCTATAGGATCATTGCCCAAACTAATCCATCCAACCCCTTAGACCTCTATGTCTAGAGCAAGAGATATTGGAGCTCTTAGTGGATCTTTTCCAGCGAATGCCATCACTTTCGTGTGGGGAGTCGCCTAAGGACTTACAAGCCAGGGGTAGTGGTCATGTAGCCTTAAGATCTATCCAAAAGAGAGAGAATCTAGATTAAGACCATAAGCTAGAAGGATTAAGCATATGAAACCTCTAATCTATCCCATCTCAAACCCCAATGGGTAACTACTCACTACACATGAATGTAAACACAAGCAAATGCAATAAAAGAGACATCATAAGAAAGAGGAGATGAAATTAAACAACTTTTATTGAAATAAGCAAGTGCAAATACAAGAGAGATTATCCAGGATCTAGGATTCAAGAAGCAAGAGCTTCAAGAACACAAAGATGGGATTAGATCTCTAAAAAGTAAAAGACAATAAATTAAAAGAAACTAAAACAAAATAATCTAAAGCTTGGTGGTTTTTTCGTGGCTTAGAGCCTTTAAATACAAGAGGATTAGGTTTAGGGTCAAAGGAAAGTCAAGGGGGAAGCAACATTTTTCGGGTTTGACTGTTGACTTCTCAGCTCGATCGAGTTGAAGCTTGGCCGGTCGAGTTGAGGAACTCGACCGGTTGGTCGAGTAGACGGTCGAGCTGGTCTTCAAGATGGCTTCTCCCTTCTTCCTTTGCGTATCCAGTTGAGCTGCGTCCATGTGCCAAGTCCCTCCATGCTCCTCATGTCCCATATGCTCCAGAATGCTCCAAAAGACCTATTTCAAAGGACCAAACATGCATATGTATGCAAATGCAACCTAAAACTAACATGAATGCATAAGAAGAGAAAAGGAACAAGATATGATGCAAATGGAAAGCTAAAACTATGCAAAAGATGCATAAAAGATGTGCTAAAACTATGTAAAATGCAAGTACATCAGAGTCTAGAGAGTGTTAAGGTGTGCGCCGTCAGAAAAGAAGAGGAGTAACCCCAGGAAGAAGGAAGAGAAGCCTCTCCGGATCTAAGCCGCATACACGAACGCTCACAAATCGTTGCATCTTTATTCTTGTTATTTTATTTTACGGATTTTGGAGTTAAGAGGAAGGATTCAACCTTTTCATCAATAGAGAAGCTTCTCCCATCCCTTTTCTCTTTAATATTCGCATGATGCTTTCATTCAAATCTTGTTTGTTTGCTTGCACCATGGCCGAGTAAATCCCTTACTAGGCCGTGGTGGATCAATGAGTGCATAAACCTATAAATGAGAGTCTTGTGAATTGAGAATAACCTTTGAGTTCTTCACCTTTACTTGAGCATAATGCCGTTTGCTTTTCTGATCATCTAGCATCGGATCTTGGGTTAATATACTCTCCAAAAGCTTGTTATATTGCCGGAACTAGTATTTGGTGAGCGATAGTTCACGGCCAACGAAAGTTGAGTTGTGGAGTATTGTGAACAATTAAATCTTGAACATCTTTAATGCATGTTTACAACTTTTAATAACCAACGAAAGCTGAGTCTATTAGGTTGTTTAAACATAGTAGTTGGAGCCACGAAAGTGGAAAAACTATATCTTAGTGATTTAAGTTCGAGAACGGTCTATAATGAATCTCTTTCACTTGATTTCTTTGTTTAAGTTTGTTGCATCTCGGCGATCCACCATTGTCTAGTGTTTCCCCTTATTGATCTCATCCATTTCCATCTATTCATTATTGTCAAAACACTCTCAAACCATATTTTGCTTTAGCTTGTTTCAACTCTTACTCTTGTAGCACAATCGATAGGTCCTTGTGGATTCGATCCCATACTATACTTACCTCGTTGCTGTGCACTTGCAGGTACTTAAGTTGGGTAAAACTTGAAGACAAACCCAGCTTGCATCAAGTTTTTGGCGCCGTTGCCGGGGACCTTCTTGTCTACAAGATCGGACGAGAATCTAGACTAAAGCGCATTTTACTCTTTATTGTTTTGTTCTTTTTGTAGGCACAACTTGAGCGTGCCATGGCTGGAGAAATACGTGACCAGCAACCAAATCCTTGGAGGAACCATCTTGATGAGCCGCCTTTGGACGAGGTCCAAGACCGCATACCACGAGAAGGCCTTGGACCGGAGCTTAACCGAGCCGATGGGCTACACCGAGGAGACTTAGGCGATCACCAAGGAGGGGAGAACCAAGAGACCGTTGGAGACAGTGACTCTAGACCAGAGCTTCTCCAAAGCCGTAGCCCTATCCGGACTTACGAGGGCCACCAGTTTGAGATCAAGCCGCGAGTCATTGCTTTGGTAAAACAAAGTCAATACCACGGGCTTATCGAAGAAGATCCGTTGGATCATGTCGATTCTTTTGAAGAATTGTGCAGCACAACTAGTGCAAATGGAGTTCCGGGCGACTACTTGAGATGCCGGCTCTTTACTTTTACCTTGGCGGGAAAAGCACTCAAGTGGCTCAAGTCTCTCCCGTCTCGCTCAATCACTACATGGATGGAGTTCAAGAAAGCTTTTCTTGGTCAGTTTTATACAAAGCAGCGGACTAGTTTGATGAGGAGCAAGATCGTTGGCTTTCAGCAAGGGCCAATAGAGCCGTATCATGAGGGATTGGAGCGCTTCAAGGAATACATAAGAGATTGCCCACAACATGGCTTCTCGGAAGTAAACTTGTGGAACACGTTTTATGAGGGAATAAGGCGCGAGCACAAGCTGTATCTTGATATAGCTAGCAACGGGAACTTCATGAGTAAGTCCATAGAGGAAGCCAAAACATTGATTGATAACTTAGCGGTCAGTGACAGCAAGAATCAACCGAGCTATGAAGAAACGATCAAGGCAATCAACGCGAGACCGGGACTAGTTGAGTTTGAGGAGCTGAAGTCCATGATCGCTAAGCTTTTGGAGAGAGAACCGGAGCATCGCTTGAGCCCCCGTGAGAGCAAGATACAACGGACCAAGGTCGATGAGAGGGAGTGCTCTACATAAGCAAGCAAGAGATACAACATCCGGCTGAAACCCGACTTGGCGCTAAGGAGCATGGAGGAGAGCTCAAGGCCTTGATCTATGAGTTCATTGGTGAACAGAGAAGAGCGAACAAGGAGATCAACGAGAAGATACACTATGTGTATCACGACTTGAACAATAAATTTGGGTCGCTGGAGTCGCACATCAAGGAGCTTGATCTTCAAATAGCAAACATAGCCGGTACAATCAAGAAACCGCTTGGAGTCCTCCCTGGTCGAACTGAGGCTAACCCCAAGAAGGAACATATAGCGGCCATCACCCTTAGGAGCGGTACGCAGTTAGACGAAGTGGAGATGCCACCGGAGCTCATAAGGAAAGAACCTCAACCGGAGGTAATATTGGAAAGTGGAAGAAGCGGCTGGCGAGCAAACAAAGACAAATCTTGAGGAGAGCGCCGCGCCAACAACACCTACTCTGCGCGTATATAAGCCAAAAGTGCCCTACCCCGGATCAGTGAAGAAGCCCAAGAAAGAGAAAGAGCAAGCAAAGTTGAAGGACCTTGTGAGCCAACTAAGCGTAAGGCTCCCTTTTGTCGATGCTTGCATGATTATTCCATCATTGAGGAAGTATATGAAGAGCATACTCACTAGCAACTTGAGTCTAGAAGAGGGAGTGATGTTGATAACAGAAGATTGTAGCCTAGCCCTCCAAAACAAAACCCCGGAGAAGCTTGACGACCCGGGGAGCTTTGTTCTCTCATGCCAAATCGGAGGTACGATCTTTAAACGCTGCCTTTGTGACTTAGGGTCTAGCGTGAATCTTATGCCCTATACAGTGGCCAAGCGCCTTGGCATAACAAGCTTTAGACCCACAAAGATTCAGTTGGTCTTTGCTGATCGATCGGTGAGGCGGCCCATTGGCATCGTGAGTGATGTACAAGTCATGATTGGTAAAATGTTTCATACCGGCTGACTTTGTGGTGCTGGAACTAGACCAAGAACCAAGAGATCCCCTGATCTTAGGGCGACCTTTCTTAGCCACAGCCGGCGCCATTATTGATGTCAAGGGAGGAAAGATAGACTTACACTTGGGAGACTTGGTAATGAAGTTTCAAATTGACAAAACTTTGGAAAAGCCAACTATCGACGGGTTCTCTTTCTTGGTGGACAATTTAAGTGAGGTGTCTGAAGGAGTGTATGAGGAGCTGATAATGGACGACCCCTTAGAAGTGGCACTAACCCGTGTGGAGAAAGAAGGAGGCTATTTCAGTAGAGAAGCGCGAGACATAGCCAAGTCACTCGATAACGCGGAGACTTACAAAAGCTAGTAGCTTATGTTGGCTTGGAGAAGAAGTAATGGGCACAAACGCCTCAAGGGATGCATCCAAGCCATCAAAGGAGCCATGGAGTGAGTTGAGCGCTCCAAAGTCGAGCTCAAGGAGCTCCCCGTAGGGCTAAGGTACGCATTTCTCGGTCCCAACAATACATACCCGGTGATAATCAATTCAAATCTATCAAATGTAGAGACCGCGCTATTACTTTGTGAACTAAGAAAACACCGCAAGGCCCTTGGGTACACCCTTGAGGATATAACCGGTATTTCCCCAGAACTTTGTATGCACAGGATACATCTCGAGGATGAGTCTAAGTCCTCCATAGAGCATCAAAGGAGACTAAATCCAAACCTGAAAGATGTGGTGAAGAAGGAGATAATGAAACTCTTGGAAGCTGGAGTGATATACCCTATCTCGGACAGTACATGGGTGAGCCCGTCCACGTAGTTCCAAAGAAAGGAGGAGTGACGGTCATAAGGAACGAGAATGAAGAGCTCATACCCACCAGAACGATCACTGGCCACCGGATGTGTATCGACTATCGTAAACTCAATGCCGCGACCAGAAAAGACCATTTTCCCTTACCCTTTATAGATCAAATGCTTGAACGGCTTGCTAACCATCCTTACTATTGTTTCTTAGATGGTTACTCAGGTTTTTTCCAAATCCCAATCCATCCCGACGACCAAGAGAAGACAACATTCACATGTCCATATGGAACGTTCGCATATAGGCGAATGCCTTTTGGCTTGTGTAATGCACCGGCTACGTTTCAAAGATGCATGATGTCAATCTTCACGGACTACATAGAAGACATAATGGAGGTATTCATGGATGATTTCTCAGTTTATGGCACATCCTTTGATGCTTGTTTGTCAAATCTTAGCAAGGTCCTCAAGAGATGTGAAGAGAAGCATCTAGTGCTAAATTGGGAGAAATGCCATTTCATGGTGAGAGATGGGATCGTGCTCGGTCATAGAATCTCGGAGAGAGGCATTGAGGTTGACAAAGCCAAGATCGAGGTAATGGTGAACTTGGAACCGCCCAAGAACGTCAAAGGAGTAAGAAGCTTCCTAGGGCACGCGGGGTTTTATAGGAGGTTCATAAAAGACTTCTCCAAGATAGCGCGCCCTCTCACTCAGTTACTTTGCAAAGAAGTGGCGTTTGAATTCAGTGGAGAATGCCTCGCGGCGTTCAAGAAAATCAAAGAGGCTCTCATTAGCGCGCCGATCGTACAATCACCGGATTGGGAGCTTCCTTTTGAGATTATGTGCGACGCAAGCGACTACGCCGTTGGAGCTGTGCTAGGCCAAAGGAAAGAGAAGAAACTCCACGTCATATACTATGCAAGCCGGACCCTCGACGAAGCACAATGCAACTATGCCACCACGGAGAAGGAGTTATTGGCGATTGTCTTTGCATTCGAGAAGTTTCGCTCTATCTCGTTGGCTCCAAGGTTATAGTGCATACCGATCACGCGGCTCTCAAGTATCTGCTGTCAAAGAAAGATGCAAAGCCAAGACTTATACGCTGGATACTTCTTTTGCAAGAATTTGACCTAAAGATCATCGATAGGAAAGGCGCGGAGAATGGCGTGGCCGACCATCTTTCAAGAATGAGAATCGAAGAGAGCATACCTATAGATGACTCGTTACCAGAGGAAACGGTCTATGCGGTCAGCGCAGTACCTATATCGAGAGAGGAGACCCACCAAGAGCCACCACGGAGAGGAGAAATTGCCTTTGGCGCGCTTGGTATCGTCATATAGCCAACTATCTCGCGGCCGACATAGAACCTCCGCACTTCTATGGATACAAGAAGAAGAAATTCTTGAAAGACATCAGATTTTACTTCTGGGACGAGCCATACCTCTACAAGAAGTGCCAAGACGGATTGTTTAGAAAATGCGTGCCGGAGGAAGAGATAGCCGGGATTCTCCATGGATGTCACGGATCAGCTTACGCAGGTCATTTTGCTACGTTCAAGACAGTCTCTAAGGTCTTGCAAGCGGGTTTTTGGTGGCCTACAATGTTTAAAGACGCTCAAGCATTCATCTCACGTTGTGATGCTTGCCAAAGAATGGGGAACATAAGCAAAAGGAATGAAATGCCGCAAAACTTTATCTTGGAAGTTGAGGTATTCGATGTTTGGGGAATTGATTTCATGGGACCCTTCCCCACATCCTTTGGAGATCAATACATACTAGTAGCAGTGGACTATGTCTCCAAATGGGTTGAAGCGCTAGCCGCTCCAACAAATGACTCAAGCGTGGTGATCAAAATGTTCAAATCGATCATATTCCCAAGATTTGGAGTTCCAAGAGTTGTGATAAGTGACGGAGGCTCACACTTCATCAATCGGATCTTTGCAAACCTTCTAAAGAAATATGGAGTGCGGCACAAGGTAGCGAGCCCTATCATCCACAAACTAGCGGCCAAGTGGAGATTTCAAACAGGGAATTGAAGAGCATCCTACAAAAGACAACCGGGAAGAATAGAAAAGATTGGTCGGCCAAGCTAGACGACGCTCTTTGGGCATATAGGACTGCTTTCAAGACACCTCTCGGGACAACTCCATTTCATCTCGTCTATGGCAAAGCGTGCCATCTACCGGTGGAACTAGAGTACAAGGCAGCTTGGGCGGTCAAGGAGCTAATTTCAATCTTAAAACCGCAGCGGAGAGGCGCCTGATCCAATTGAACGAGCTTGAAGATAGATCCGACACCTGGCTTACGAGAACAGCCAAATCTACAAGAAAAGACCAAAGCGCTCCATGATAGAAGATAGTGCCTAAGTCCTTTGCCGCGAATGACCAGGTCCTGCTTTTCAACTCAAGACTCAAGCTTTTTCCCGGCAAACTACGCTCAAGATGGTCTGGCCCGTTCAAGATAAAAGAAGTCAAGCCATATGGAGCAGTGGTTCTTTGGGACCCTAGTGGAGGAGACTTCACCGTAAACGGTCAGAGGCTAAAACCATACCTAGCCAACTCGGAAAAGGGAGTAGAGGAAATCATACCCTTGGCCGATGCACCACAAGAATAAGAAAGAGAAGGAGTCAAGCTAAATGACTTAAAACAAAAGCGCTTTATGGGAGGCAACCCATATGGTTTTTAACTATTTATTTCTATTTTGCAGGAATTTTTCAAAAATCAAACAAAAATACTAAAATATTTTCTTAGGATGAAGACCAAAGGAGACCAAACAATGAAAGTGTCCCACCCAATGAGCCCACCCTTGTACAAGGCGTTTCTCCTACAAAAGGTAAGCAAAATCTCATCTTGTACTCATTCATAATAGCTAATGAACTTAACATGTTAATCGGTTGCACCATTGCACTTAAACCACATCTATTATATGGTTTACAATCGATTTATATATGATAGTTATTGAATGAGATACATAATTACTTTTCCAAACTCATCTCGCTCACTGAAATTACAAGAGATTGAACTATATTTGAAATTTGGAACATTGACCAAGACCAAATAAAAATTTATAGTTTGTGTTTAACTCTCTTGGATTGTGAACTTCAAGTTGGTCACTTGAGGATCTCAATACAAGAAACCATCTAATCATAATTTCAAGTGTTTTTCAAGGAGTTACCATTTGACAGGAAGGAGAAATAATCAAACCTATAACCAACCTCAAAACCAACATGCATATGGCGGCCAAAGGGAGGTTAAAAGGAGATACAAAGGCCATCCAACGAGACAAGGCGGCCACCACTTGGGAATGACACAGGCGGGTTATTAAAACAATTAGGTCGAAGAAAATCTCAATTGGCCCGAGTGGATTTGAGGAAATTCAATCCGTGACATTTCTCTCGGCCATACCGCGCACAAGGAGACTAAATTACGGCCAACTCACAGGCGACCATAAAATCACATTTGGTCGGCAAATCCAAAAGATAGGACGGAGAAATCATCACGGCATGAGATAGACGACGGAGCTCATTCTGGCCGATGGCGCGCAAGCAATATGGCCGACAAAACCAAATCACGGCATAGCGCGCCAACCGGTTGGAAAACTCTTCTTTGAGCTTAACTAACACTTTTATGCAGGAAGAAACGAAAAGGAACGAGCCAAACTTCACATGGCCAAGGAAACTCCTTCCCGGAGCCGACTTGACCATTTTGTGAAGGAAGTCTCAATCCCTCGTACAAATGCTCCCAAACTTCACCAGAGGCCATAAAATACCAGGTTGGTCGATGAAATTTCAATATAGGTCATGAAATTTTTGACGGTTTGTTCTGTAGTTCACAGCACCACATTTTGGCCGACCGAATATACCAATCTCGGCCAAAACACAAACCGGCGGAAACCAAGGCCTGAAATTAAAAACTCACCGACCAATATTGCCTAAAGAAGTGTAGAATGACCCAAACCGGAACTGATCTTCATTATAAATTGGTCGACATTTGGTAACATCATCCTAAACCTTTTTCTTTTCAATTTTTCATTTGAACTTCATGTTATGCCTCTCTTAATCCGATTTGATTTCACCGGGACGGTGCAAGTTAAGTCTGGGGGGATTACTAACAATGTTTGTTCATTTTGGCGTTTTCATTTGCATTTTTTCCCTTTTATCGAGTCGTTTTTATTGAGTCAAAATTTTTGTCGAGAATCATGACCTTATCTTGGATCTAACCATGATTGTACTAATGTTTAAGTGACCATTGAGCAGTTCTTGGCAATACATCTTACCACAGGTGCACTATGAGTTGATCGATCTACCAAAAACGCCTACATCTCTAAAGACTTGAGAAGGATCCATCTTTGACTCCGCCCTTAATGAACTTAATCTTCTCAGCTAGGGGCTTGGCATACAAATGGCATGATTCCTCATCCTCTCCATCAAATGAAAAAGTCTTAGTGAGTTCGTGCTTCCCTCTCTCTCCCCTTCAAATTTAAAGAAAAAGCGTAAGGTCCAAGTAACCGGGGATTCGGTGGCAAACACCATCAATACTCGCGTCTATGGAAGGCCTATGAATCCAAGCAACCGGGGATTCGGTGGCAAACACCATCAATACTCGCGTCT